CCTCACGCCCGCCGTCCCCAGGGGGTAATCAGTCATGATCGCACTGCATTGGGTTGCTTGGCCACAGCCCGCGCCCGCGCCCGTTGCGCACCAGCGCCCATTGTGCACGACAGCTGTCACGCGCAACCAGCCTCCACACTGCCCCGGTTCCTTGTGTGTGGGTGTATATCGCTCACAGCCAGGCGGGTGCGGTAATCACGTGCGGTTGAGTTCGAAAGATTGCTGACTGCAAAGACGCCGCTTCCTATGCATAAAACAAAAAGATTGCTGGCCCAACTACACTACGGGCAAACGGCAAGACGCGTTCACACTTGGCACACACACGGCATAGCATATGGAGTGCATTTTGTCTGATGATCGATCATCTGAGTCCAGTGGTATTGCAGATAAATAGATGAGTATAGAAAACCTATCGCGCCCCCGATCTAGACTGTAGATCGAGGCTGTCTGCATGCATCTCCACAGCATAGATCACTATGTCGTCTGCTCTGCCTCCAGCGTGTAGTATACATAGATCATCGGATCATATACTTTTCTTCGGCATATCCTGGGCGTTGGGAGGCATCGTGACTGCCATCGCCTTGCTTGTGCTTTTCTGGCGGAGTCGCACCCGTAAGCAGCTGCAAAAGAAGCTCGCTGTCAAAACTCTCAGGCGATCGGAGGTGACGCAGGCGTCCAAGGTCACCACCGGGTGCGTGTGCGCCCGGCATGGTCAAGGGCATCTCAGGCCAGGTGCCACCAGGGCGCGCGCGACAAAGCGCACTCACAAGCCTGGCCACCATGTACAGCTCCCCTGCATGCTTCAGCACCCACCCAAACTCCCGCGGTCCACCGCCCCGCATCATGGCCCGCCCCGATCCATCCCCGCCCACCTCGCCACCACAGCCTCCTCTCCTTCTTGGAGCTAGACCCGGCCGTCGCCGCCGCGCCGCCGCTCAACAAGCTGCGCCTCATGTCCCTCGGAGCCTACTTCTCCAGCCTCCAGCCCCAAGGTGCCTTCTCATACGAGCGCGCCGTCGTGTCCGCCGCTGACAAATACGGCCTGACCGCTGCGCTTCCGCTGGCCGTGTTCCTGCCGGCCGCGTGGCGGCGCGACGACGACGTGGGCGGGCTGCTGCGCAGCTTCCCCGGCCTGTCCGCCGGCCGCGCGCTGCAGGCGGCGGTGTCGACGCTTGATATGGTGGCGTTCGGGCAGACGGTGCATCAGTATGCGGCGCGCACGCGCCGCCACGAGGCGGAGGCGCGGGCGGGGCCGGGAGCGCATGCCGCAGACCACCACCACCAGCAGCAGCAGCAGCAGCACGTCGAACCGTCATGGTGGCGCCTGCGCGCCCCTGCAAATCCGCAGCTGCCGCCGCGCGAGCCGACCGCCGCCGGCCGTGCCGCGCAGGCGGCGCTGCGCGAGGAAGGTCCCCTACACCTGCTGCTGCAGGGCGGCAAAGCGCCGCCGGCCGCGGCCACGGGCGCGGCCCCCCTTCAACTTCCAAACCCGCTGCTGCTGACCCCAGAGTCCGTGCTGGGCCTGCTGGGCATAACCCCGGAAGCCGCGGCCGACACGTCCCCCGTGCCTGGCCCCGAGCCGCGCCCTGCGTCGCAACTTCTTCCGGATCTTTGTATTGGAAACGGCGGGTTGCATCTCACCTTCCCCGCCGCCGGCACCGCCGTGTGCGGGCTGATGGCTCAGGTGCGGGAGCGGCGCTTGATCGCTGCCCTCGTCCATGCCTGGGCTGTACCCCCATCCACCGCCCATCCGTCGCCTCGCATGTCCCAACGGCGTGCTTCCAGCAGACAGCGCGACGCTGCAGATATGAGCCAGATACAGTAGTACTTTGTATGGCAATCCCATGCGGCGCAGGTGTTCAACCGCCTGACCGGCAACGCAATGCGCGGGCTGCCCCGCGCGCCCGGCCTGCTGCCCGAGGGAAGCGCCGATGACGTCACCGTGGCGTCACCCTTCCTCGTGCGGGTGACGCCGGACGGCCCGGCGGTCTCGACGGTCGAAGATCTCGTGCGGGAGCTGGAGGGTCAGGGCTACGAGATCGAGATCACGCTGCGGTCAAACATAACCAGCTTCAGCTACGGTCTGAGCGTCAGGGCCGAGGACGGCGGATGGCTGCAGGTGCCGATCGCCTACCCCCTGCGCACGGGCCTCTGGGCGGTGAGCGGCGAAGGCAGCAGCTGCAGTGGACAGCGTGCACATGCAGGGGTGGGGCCGGCGGTCTTCACTGCAGACGACAGTTCGTGGCTCCAGAAGAATTCATTGGCACTGCTCCAGGGCATACCTGCGGTCGTGAAGGCCTGCGAGCCGCGCCCACGTTCCCAGCTCCCGCCCGCGTGCCCCATCGCCGCGCCCCCGCGCCCGCCCGCGGCCGCCGCGCTTCCCTGTTTGCAGCGCGACGAGCGCGGCCGCACGCTGGACGTGCTCACCCTCATGCCGCACGCGAGCGTCGTCGTCAGCGTTACCGGCGGCGGGCCCGGCGGCCGCGGCGGCGGCGACAGCGGCGGGCCCGACAGTGGCGGGGGCGGCGGCGACGGGGCCGGCGGGGACGGCGGGCTGCTGCCGGATTTTGCGCTGGAGTGGTGCCTCAACATAAACGGGTTCACAGGGTGGGGCTCCTACTCCTGCCTCGACCGCGCGTGGGCCGCAGGCGCGCCGTTCCAGGTGGGTGGAAGGCGGGGAGGCGGCCAGGTGGCATGACTTGTTGCTGCGCTCCGCTCCGCGCAAACCTTTGGGGCTTTTCACACATCTGGTGCTGCTGCGGGGCCGGGGCCATGGCCCAGGCGAAGGCCGGGCATGCCGGCGGCCGCCCATCCGCGCCGGCGCTGACGCTCGCTGACATCACACGGGCTTGTGCGGGCGCTCGTGCGTCCGCTGCGCGCAGACCCTGCACAACTTGGGGGACCTGTCGGCGGCGGCGGCGCGGCAGCGCGCGGTGCGCATGCTCACGGCGGCGACAGTGGTGGTCAACGCGGCGGGTCAGAGGGACAGGCTGCTGTTTGGAGGTGAGTGTGTCTGTGTATGTGTCCTGTGTATGGGAACGGCTGTTTGCGTGTGACTGTGTGTGTCCGTGTGTGGCATGTATGTGCGTACGGCTTTTTAGAGGTGAGTCTGTGTGTGTGTGTGTGTGTGTGTGTGTGTGTGTGTGTGTGTGTGTGTGCGCGCGCGCGCACGCGCAAGAGTCTGTGTGTGTGCACGTGCATGCGCAAGAGGAGGCCATCGGGCTGTTGGGTTGGCCTTGATATTCTCTGACAACTGCTACACCCTGGATCGTCTTCATTTAAACGACCTCGTATGCGCTCGTTCGCCCCTCCGCCTCTGCCAACACCAGCGGCGCGCCCCCAACCCTCGAACCCCAGCTCACCGTTAACGCCGCGCGCGGCAGGCTACGGCTACCTGGGTGTCTGCCGCCCCTCCAACTTCCAACACCAAGCAACGCGCCCCCACCCCCCCGCCGCCCCGCTCACCCGCATTTGCGCGCCGCAGGCTACGGCTACCTGGGTGTCTGCCTGGACAGCGCCGCCGCCATCCAGCAGGCGCTGACGGGCGGCTGCAGCCTCTACCCCCTGATTCTCGGAGGCGACGCGAAGATGGGGCTGATTGCCGCCTACCAAGACGCGCAGGCGGCATCGGCGGCGACGGCATCCGCGGCGGGACTGGGAGAGGCGCGGGGCGATGCCGCTGGCGGCGGTGGTGCTGGCTGCGACAAGCACCACCTGCGGTCGCAAGGGCAGCAGCCGCAGCGGCAGCAGCAGCAGCAGCAGCAGCAGCAGCGTCCCCAGACGCGACCTGAACAGGCGGACGGCGCGGCCGCCATCAGGGCGGACGGCGCCGGCGGCGGGGGCGGGGCCGCAGCCGACCGCTGGGAGTATGCATCAGAGGCGGCGGCGCTGCAGGCGGCGGTGGCGGCGCTGCCGTGCGACGCGATACAGGAGCCGCGCCGCGCCGCCGACGCGGCGCGGCGCGCGCTCGCGTGCCTGCCGGAGCGCAGCGCGTTTTCGTGCGTCGGGGCGTGCAGGGCGGCGCTGCGGGCGGCGCGGGACGCGGCGGAGCGCCTGTGCCCGGGCGGCTGAGGGCAGGGGGGAGGGGGGATGACGGGCTGGTAGGTGTGGTTTTTCCTGTATGTGCCGGGGGTGTCCCTTAGCGGAGGCTGTGCCTCGCTGCTGGCAAAGCAAAGCAGTGTCTATTGTCGTTAATATCTTTTGCCGCGTCCGCCACAGCCAGACTCATCTGGGAGGCGGCTGCCGCCGCGGCCCCGCAGGTCACCGCCCCCGTTGCTGAAGGGTGGGCAGGGCAGGCGAGCGCGCAAGCGAGTCCAGCATCCTGCATTGTATTCGGGGTCCTGACCGCTGATCCTTACAATACGTTTGTTTTACAGGGAATCGAGGTATTCCAGGGGCAAGCTGTGGGTTCTTGTTGGTCCAAGGAGGCGCAGGTCTCCCCTTCCTTCACAGCATGCTGGAGGCCTCAGACCATGGATTCCTCGGCACTAGGATTCATCTTGCATTGCCCCATGCTACGTTTCCACGCTTTGCTGGCCAAACCCTACCCTCGTGATTTTCAAACGTGCTTGTGTCATTACAATACGGATGTTGCTATGATGACTTTATCAACTTGCGCTTCGTCCGATTTTTTGCGCCGCGCCTGAACCTCCGCCTGTGTGCATGTGACGCACCTCACCCGGTGAGTCACAACTCGTCGATGCCGCATGGGTTTGGTTCTGCCGCACAACCGCTGGGATCGTAGGGCGGATGCGGTGTGCAAGGAGCAAAACATCACCATGATGAGTAACTTTCAGTACAGACGCGACAGTTGGTGCGCGCAGTTGCGGGAGCAGTGACAATTGTGTGAGCGGAAGTGACATCAGCGGTGTGCTGCGCTGGCGGCAAACTCATCGGGGCCAATCACAAGGGGGCTTGGTGTTTGCATTATTATCATCAGATTAAGTTTCAACCATTCAAGTCACGGCGCAGCCACATGGACAACGAACAGCAGCACACTGAGGATGGCGGGGTTGGTGCTGAGCGGGCATACACTAGCCTGGACCAGGCAGCAGCCGTGTCCCAGGGCACAGACCTGCTTCAATTGTACGGTGCGCATTCATTCGATTGCTTGCGGCAGGCCCATTGCTCCTCGCGACAGCAGCAGCACCGATCTCGTGAGGCACAGCTCCCGTTGAATGCCCGGCAGCTGTGTGTATGGTACCATTCGATACGGTGAAACCGTCGTGTTCTCATATATGTGTGTATCGCAGATTTCAAACTTACGGGGCAGGGCCTCACCGCCGGCGCCAGCGCGCACCCGCTGCCCCAGCCGGGCGCACCCAAGGTGCTATGGAAGCCCCCCACCGGCGCCGGCACCAGCGACGGCGACACCGATGACGCCGCCGACGACACCGCCGCTAGCGCCAGTATGCGCGACCAGGGGCACGCCGGCGCGCTTGAAGCCCCGATCACGGCTGGAGTCTCAGCCGGCGGCGGGGG